ATATACTTATAAGAACTTCTTAGTTATAATTAAATTATAAGTAGAATTATACTAATTTTTAATTATATTAAAAGTTAAGGCTAAATTAAAGCTAAATTAAGCTAGATCTTAATATACCTCTTAATAAAGGATATATTTATTATTATTATTTCTTACTTTATATTAAGACTAATTAAGGTCTAAAAAATAAATAAACTAGGTATAATTAGTTAATATACTATAAGGATTTTATTAAAAAAAGAAAATATTAATTATAAAATAGATTTAAGTATTAAATTATTAATATATAGGTTAATAACTAATATATATTTTATAATAGTATATATATTAAGATATTTCTACTAAAGATTAAAAATATTTTATAAAAAAGTATTATATAAGAAGAGATTTTAACTTAAGTTTATATTAATAAGCTATAAAGAAGTAAAGAATATAATATATATAAAAAATATTAATTATATAAGTATAATAAGTAATATTAATTATCTTATTAAGGGAATTAAGGGTATTACCCTCCCTATTTATATTATCTACTTATTCTTTCTTAAAAGATTAGTTATAGGTATTAATATAATTACTATTATTATTATTATTATCTTTAATAATATCTTATTTAGTATTTATATTTAAATCTTTAATCTTAATAATAAGAATAATAAAAGTAATAAAATATAATAGCTATAAATATTAAATAAAGTTATAATTATTAAAAAAGATTTAATATAATTTAATAACTATAGGATCTCTTTTATTAAAAAGAATAATAAGATAAGTTAATAAAGGCTTAAATACTAAGGCTTATAAAAAGATATTTAGGCTAGAATAACTAGTAGTTTAACTATAAATTAAAATAAAGCCTTAAATACCTTAATAATAATAGCCTTTTTAAATACTAGAATATAAAATATAGCTTATTTTAAAGGTATATATAAGGAAGGTAGAGGATTTAGTAATATTATTTTACTTTTTAATATATATAGCCTTATTTTAAAGCTAAAATACCTTTTTATCTTATTTAAGCTAATAAGCTACTACCTAAGCTATACTTATTCTAAAGGCTAGGCTTAAGGTTAGTAATATAGACTAAGAACTAGGATATTCTTATATAAAATATACTTATAGTATATTAGTAAAGTTATTAAGCTAAAAAAATAAGGTATTAATAAGATTTATAAAACTAAGTTAAATAAAGACTAAACTATAATCTAGGTATAAAACTAAGAATATAAGCTTTATTAATTAGTATTTAACTAGCTAAGGTAGTTTATAAGATCTTTAAATTAAAGTAGTATAAAACTAAGTAGTAAAAGAAATACCTATACTAAAAAAGTAGCTATAATATTAATATAACCTAAAGATAAAAAGAATATAGGTTAATATACTATTTAATTAGATAGAATAGTTAATATAGTTATAATTCTAATATAAAGGCTTTATAAGGTTTAATAAAAGCTTATTAAGAGATTAAGAAAGATAAGTAAATACTATTACTATCTAATAATAATAACTAAAAAGGTAGTTTAATTTAAAAATACTTTATTATAAGTCTATTTACTATAAAGAGTTAATATTATAATCTAAAGAATATAAAGCTAAAAAAAAGTATAAATAGAAAGTTATAAAAAAATAATATAAAAGAATTTATTTTAAAAGTAAATTAAAGGACTTTTATATTATTCTATTAATTATTTATTAGTTAGTAGTTACTAGCTAATAATTATAATACCTATATAAATTAACTATACTATATTTATAAAATAACCTATTATTTAGGGTATATATTCTATTTATAATAATAAAGAATAATATAAAGGCTAAAATATAGTACTTAGAGAAGTACCTTTTAAAAAGAAAGGTAATTATAATACTTTAATATATATAATTTAAATTAAACCTAATTTAATACTTATAATTATAAAAAACCCTAGTAATTAAAGAACTATATACTACTAGTAAAGTTAATACTACTAGTATTAAATATATAGTAGTTAAGAATCTATAGTAAGTATAAATTATATAAGATAACTAATTAGCTATAAGGTAAAGGGGTACTTAGAGTTAGCCTAAAAAAGAATTAGTTATAAGATTAATAAGACTTATATATAAGTTAAGCCTAAATTAAGACCTTAAGTAGACTTATAGGAATAAGACTAACTTATATAAGTTTTAATTAGTATTTAAATAGTATTTAAACTCTAATTAAAAAGATAGGTTATTCTCCTTTTAGTTATTATAAAATAAGGGGGATATTTCCTAGAAGGAAAAAGGGGATAAGCTTTAGTCTTAATAAGTAATATAACCTACCTTTTTCCTTCCCTACTTTTCTACCTAATCTAACCTAACCTTTATATATTTTATATTATATATTTTAAGGTTTATATAATTCCCTTATATAATTTTAATAAGTTTATAACTAATTTAATAAAAAACTATAAGTTCTTTTATACTTTTATACTTATAAAAGTATATATTATTATCTTAACCTTATAAGGTTATTTTTTACTATTTACTATTTAGTATAATAAGGTAAGTAGTTCTTTATTATATTCTTATAAGTTTATTACTTATTTTTTATAAGCTATTATTACTATTACCTAAATAGTATATATTTAGGCTATTAAGAAGGCTAAGAATAATAAATAAGGTATTAATAATATTATTATAAATAAACTTAAAGCTTATTAGTATAATATTACTTATATTACTATAGTATAAGTATAATATACTTAAGTATATATTTATTTATTACTTTTTATTTAGAAGGTAAATCTTTTTATACTTTTTTTATAATTTTACTATTTACTTATAATAAGGGTTTAATAAGAAAAAGTAAAAAAAAGAGGTAGCCTAACTAGTTAGCTTTTTAGGTAAAATGCCTAAATTTAAGATAAAGTAGTAGTAGTATTATTATATTTTTTTTTCTTTTCTTAAAAGGTTTTTTTTTTAAAGAAAAAGAAAAATAATACTTATTTTTACTATATTTTTATTAAAGCTAAAAAATCTATTTACTAGTATTTATAGAAAATCTATTATTTAAAATCTAAATTAAATCTAGATTAAGAAGTATTATATTATTAATAATATATATATTATTATAATTATTAAGAAGTATAGATTTATATAAATAGTATTTACTTAGATTTATAAAAACTATATTAATAATATAAGCTAATCTTTTAAAAAAGCTATATTTATTCTTATAATCTTTTAAGATTTTAAGCTTGAATAATATATATATAAATTTATTACTTTTTTTTTTACTATTAATAAAGCTTTTATTACCTTTATACTAAGTATACTTTACTTTTATATAGGTATTATATTTAGTACTAAAATAGCTTTTTATATTAAGGATTTACTAGGTAGTTAAAGGCCTAGATATATATACTTTCTTATTATTAGTTATAGTAAGTTAAAAAATATAGTATTCTTTAGACTTTTATTAATATCTCTTTTTTATATTATAAAGGTAAATAAAGTCTTTAGGCTTATTCTTTCTATACTTTTTATTATTATAAGGTATATTATATATAAGTACTAATTTTAAGAATTATAATTTATTACTTATAAAAAGAAAGGTTTTATATTCTAATAAGATTATTTTTAATTCCTTACTTTATATAATATAAACCTTATTCTTATATAATTATAATAAAGCCTATTTTAAAAATAACTTTATTTTAATAGTTTTAAAGAAATTATTAATTATAAAATAATTATTAGTTAATAGTATATTAAATATCTTTATATAATTATATATTATTTCCTAATTCTTAAGCTATTTCTTAATATTAATATTTCTTTAATAGATATTTTATAATATACTTTTATAAATATAATTTATCTTAACCTTTATATATATTATATTTAAAATAATAATTAATTTAAGCTTTTTAATAAATTAGTATATTAAATACCTTTTTAAATATTCTTTATTAAGCTTATTATATACTTTAATTATTAAATAGAAATTAATAAATAATATAATAAGTTTATAAACCTTATTTAGCTTAGTTATACTTTTCTTATATACTTATAAAGTAATCTTATATTCTTATTATTCTTAATTAATTAAAGACTTAAATATTCTAAGTATTTTATAATCTTTTTTAATATACTTTTTAAGTTTTATAACTTAATAAAAATCTTATTTATATATCTTAATCTTTATAAGAATAGTAAAAAAGGTTAATATATTTTTAATATTATTCTTTTTTATAAGATTAATAGTTATTTATATATTTATTATAAAGAACTTAAAAGCTTAAATTTAATTAAACTAACTTTTTAAGCTATATTATTTAAGTCTAGGTAAGGTTATAACTTTAGTATAAAATAATATAATAAAATAATAAAATAATAAAATAATTAAATAATAATAT